TAATGAAAGGTTTGACAATCGTTGTGGAAATTTTCTTTAAACATTTGAAGTACATCAGCATTATTTACAGTATTGTTATTTTTATATTGTATGATATTTCATTTAATAACCACAATTATACTATTTAAATTTATTATTTTTATGAATAATAAAAATACAATGAAAATATCTAAAGTTACATAAAATGTAGTTTTCCCTAAAGATAGCAAAATATTTATTGATTTATTTTACTAGAGTTGCTATAGAATCAGAATCAGATAGAGCTTTATTGCCAGGTATGTTCACACATACGAGGAGTTTGTTTTCATGTCAGAGCTTCTACTACGCAACAAAATACAGAGACAGGAAAAAAAAGATAATAAATATATTAGAATAAAAATAAAAGTAGTGACTGCAAATATGCAAAGTGTGTGTATGTACAGGTAGTTTACTATATGCAACATTATATGTGCAGCTGAAACAAAGTATCTTTGTTTGAATAAAATCTAGTCAAGTATAAAGTATAGCACATTTTTGGTATTCCAATAATAACAATAACAAATTTAGATTTAGACACAGAATGGAGTTGACAGGCTTGATTAAGTTTAATTGAATTATTTCTGCCATTTCGTCTTCTTTTATTGTATCAGAAATACACCAACCCAACAAAGTATTGGAAATTATATCTATTTTAAATACACAATAAATTGATATACGAAACAGCATTCATTTGTTAAAGACTTGTAATTATTTATTAGAGTTAATGCAGTTTCATATCATATTTATAATAAATAAATCAAATGTAAATGCCCTCTATTAATATTGAAGTTACATTTGATTTGTGCTAGTGTTGCCATACAATAATGTCTTGAAATTTAGATACCATGATAACAAAGGATTACACACACTGATGTTACGAGATAGCCCTCTTTGTGTTTTACTAAACCTTTTTTTATTTCTTTTTTTATGCTAGCAAGATTTACTTTCTCTTCGCAAACTAAGCATTACAATTGATATTTCGGATTTAAGTTGTGACTTTAGGCCTACCTTGTAATAACCATTAGTACATTACATAAACCCTTATAATCACTTATCATATAAGCAATACTGTAAGGTTTTTTTTTCAGGGAGGGTGAAAGAGCATCTTTGTGACCCTGAGAAGCGCAGACAAAGGGCAGTTTCACAGACTGATGCGGAGTAAGACGGACATTGGTAAGCGACACGGCAATGATGCCAAGTGGGTCTCTCCTTTCTCTCTTGACCTGCCGTACGGTACATGAAAAGCCAGTTGTGCAGATCCAAAGAATTTCAAAGTTACCAGCAAATGAAAATGTCAGCAAGCTCTCATTTTAACCATGACAAGGCTTCTCGCATATCTTTCATAATGCTGTGCTTCCAATGAAGTTCCTGCACATACGAGATTAAGCTGATACTTGATATCATTGGCATTTCAGGGACAAATTAACATTTATGCACTGAGTTCCAATTTTTATGGCACATGGTTTATTATTTTTCGCTGTGGGAATTTTAGTGAACTTAACATTTAGCTCTAATGCTAACTGTTTTTTTTATAGTCTTTTTGCAGAGCAAAATGTCTGACGAACCTGTTTTATTGATATTATACTGAATGGACTGAAAGACCCGCCATTAAATTCTCCATTTGTGCTACAAAAGGCAGACATTTTCTACATTCCTAGCACTATTATCATTATTTCTGCTTAATAGTGCAACCAGAGAGCAGCTCAACAGAAAGTGCTCGTTGAGCTTTTGCAGTGGGATTGCTTTCAGGATAATATTGCCATGAGCACAGGCTGAATTTTATAAATCAAACGGTTGGATTCAGCTTCAAAACACCAAGAGGTTCCTCAGTCATTCAGTCTAATAACCAGAGTAAAGTTTTTTTTTCATCATTTTTTTGCTTTCACCATCAGTAGTAACAGGTTAGCACAAAAATACCATTGAAAATACTGGGGTAAAATAAACCATTTTAAAAATACTTTAAATACATGGCAAGGGGAAATGGAATTTAATGCAGTGCTTCTTGTCCAATCTGAGAACCACTTCTTATCGGATATCTAACAGGCACTGAAGATCACAGATTTTTAGAAAAATCAGATCTTAAACATGACAATTTTGTAATAGAAAGACAATTTATTGGAAGCCCTTGAGCTGATTGGGCTTAAAATGAAACGTCTGTGTATAGCCCATTCATATAATGTGTTAAATTGTTTTTTAACAGCTTAATTCAAGGTATTTGATTGGTGCAAAAACTTCTCAGAAATGTGAGAATTTTGGTTAAATGATACATGTTTGGTTTTGACTGTTGCTAAAAGCAACAGTCGATTCAGTTTAAAACCCTGCTGTTAATGTTGACTGACTGACTGACCAACTGACCGATATACTAACCCACTCTCTTCCCTAAACCCAGCCGATAGTGTATTCAAAATCAATCCAAAAAAAGAAAAGCTCTCACAGCAGCCTGATTTTCACCATGTTTAGACTTTATTATTTATTTGATTTATTTACTTGTTTGTTTTATTTTTGTCTTTTGATAATGTCTGACCTGCTTTCTAGAAACCGTTCTTCGCCAGACTCGAACCCCATCATCACGGTCAACTCTGCTCCGCTTCTCAGATCCTCTGACGTACGACAAAGTAGTAAGAGCAGAAAAGTCTTCCACACAGATGTAAGAGGTCAGCTGGTAAGCACGAATAGGAACGTGTCATACTGCCCTGCAGCATTCATTTTAAAGATTAAATGCAGCCATATGTTTCTCTGGGTATATAATTTGCGATCTCCAGAAATGTAAACATCTTACATATGTTACTAAGCTAAAAAAGAGACAGAGCTAAACATTGAGCCACCGTGTCGCCCTTTTGTCAGTGTACACTCTCAAATATAATCCTATTTTTATTGTTTACTAAATAATATTCGTATAAACACTTTTTCATATGTACGTTCTAAAAGATTGCATTTCATTTTGTCATAAATGTATCTGTTATGCTGAATAATAAGGAATTTTTATTTCAGCCATGATTTGAAATTGGCTTTTTACAAACTTCAAACGAAACATTAATGAAGACGCTGTGCATTAAATATGCTTTTCATGAATATAGAATCACTTTTGTAATTTAATCCAGACACTAAAATGTCTTTGACCTTTTTTTCTCACAAGGAGAATCATTTCAGCTGTGTCAAAAATATTTTGCATCACATTTCGAAACTAAGGACGCAAGGAGAAAAAGTGAAATTACTCTATGGATGCATTGCTACAGCTCATTTAGTCCTCTGGTTCCTTTGGAACCTTTGTGGGGCTACAAATTACAGTTTGATGTACAATTTGTTTCAAGGACAAGGGGCAGATCAATCGGCTATCTGGGAGCTGGAAATCACACAGCCGACACAAAAGCTGCGTGCTGTCAAAAATCTGAAAGGCAACAGCTTACTGAAACCCTTGAGACATGTCCTGAAGGTGTTTTTAAAACATTATCATTATTAAAACATAATTCATTCAATAGCACATATTTAAACAATTTCCAGACTCCTCAAATCATGCCTCATTTCCTGTGTGTTTAAAAGTCAATGTTGGGGCTCATTTTTCCAACATGCTGCATCACAATTCCTAAATTTATCCTAAACCCTATTTGAATATAATTAATGTGTCGCAAATCATAGTATGTTAAATTGAGTATTCCAAAGTTACCTGGCTGTTCTTCTATTTTACTATTATGTAATAATTTGAAGTGCACAACTGTACTCACTCTAATCACCACTATTGTCCATAATACATTTGTCTATTTGATTAAAACTACAAAAGCGGGAAAAAAGTGTTAACAAATGACAAACATGATGGATGAATGAGACTGACTATATAATGGAGAGGTTTTGGTAAAGATATTTGAATGACTGTTAAATAACATCTAACCTACTGGAAAATATTTCAAGTTTTCCATGTTCAATTTTATCTGCGACAACAATATGAACTTTTATTAAGACATGTTTGGTTATTAACTTCTGAATGTGCTATTATGCAAACACCTTTTTTTCAGCATGAAAGACCAATGGTGGATTACCTGCTTCAAGGTTTCTGCAGGTTACATCAAGTCAAATGTGAGACTTTTAAAGACCCTTTTAAGAGCATTATGAATTAAATTTTAGACTTATACAGGGCTAAACACTAATGAATATTTCTTAAGGCCTGGTTTGCCACGGCTGTAATTGTAATTGGGACTTGTGGAGCTGCGCATCAATTGATTTCTTCTTCAGTGTTTGGACTTTCAACAGTGAAATTTAAACTACACTGAAATGAACCAAACTGAAATTCAACTCTGAAAACTTGACTAACACAGTTTTAATTTACTTCTATACTTCTTTAAAAAAATGCATAGGGAATTTTTAATAAAGTAGTGTGCCCCAAAGCCTGCATACTATTCTGTTACACGCTTAAAGGTATGTTCTTTTTATTTACAAAAAAAGTAAATACTAGCAGTGCACAACAGAAATTCCTAACATATTGTTTCCTAACAGTCAAAAGGCTGTTATTATTGTTCTAGAAAAAGGTTAATCCTCCAACTGCTAAACTATGGCTTTAGGAATTGATGTTTACCCTGAATTTGAACAAAACCAGATATTCTTTAAAAGGCACTTGCACAATTTTACAAGTTTTTAGACCCCTTCTTCTTGTCACTTAATGGGGAGAATTCTATTTCCTAAAGCAATGTATTTTAATTAAAACATTGTTTTGATTATTAGTGTATTTGCATACTCACAGGCTGGGGTTGGGGTGTTGCTCAATGCTGTGTTCTTTTCTTTTGTTTGCATGTTTTTGTAAGCTTATGTGCATATCACAATATTTATTCTGGTATTTGGGATCATTTTAAGTCTGCTTGATGACCAAATAAAACTTATTTGACAAAAAAGTAACATACTATAAATAGGCATATTGGGATGCAGCAACAGTCTGTGGTTACTTCTAGCAACCCCGAAATCTGGATCCATGTGACACAATTAATGTTTCTTACCTCAAGATACACCACCCAGGGCATAACTAATGTGGCCACGAGAAGATCTGCCACCGCCAAGCTGACAATGAGGTAATTAGTGGTGGTCTGCAGCGCTTTCTCTCGGGAGACTGCCATACACACCAACACATTGCCGAAGACAATGACAAAGATGAGGAGAGTCAGGAGCATGGCATAGTAGTTATACTGATGCTTGGCCTCACAGCCTGTGCAGTTGAGGGCCCCGGTCCCATTGTCATAATAAGTGTCATTGTAGGGATACTCCGTGAGGAAATCCATGAGCTGTGGCCAGGGAAGAAGCCTGAAACTGAGAGACATAATTCACTGTCAGTCAATGCAACAAACAAAGGATGAAGGAAGCAGTAACACTCCAAGGCAAAAGGGAATGTTATTGATCAGAAGCTTCCCCATCATATCTTGAGTTGTCATTTAAAGCTAAATCTGGTCATTTCTACGCTTAAAAAATACTTTTAATTTAGGGTAAAAAACAGCTGTGTTTAGCAGAATTTTACCATGAAAAATATAGAAACATAAACTCCAAAATTTCTAAAACAAGCATATTGAACCTCAAACTACTGTGGGACATGTTTTACTACAGTATTTCATTAATTGCCAATGCTATGCATCAATGTTTTAAAGTACTGACATCGACACAAGGTAAATTTGTTGAACGTCACATGATGAACCAGTGCTAATCACAAAGAACATTTTCCACAAGCAAAAAAACAAACATAATATACAGAAGGAGCTCAGTTTCATTCAAACAACTAATAACTATCATTGTTACACACATGAAAATAAAATAATGTGATAAATATATATATATAAAACCCTTCAGAAATCACCAATTTATGCTGAACTTTCTTCTGTCAGCAGGTGGCGCTAACATGACTGTGACTCAATATTGGCATGCAGATGTCTTTAGGACTAGAATTTTTTTGAACGTGAATTTTCAGGCAGGTCAGACATTGTGTGGCTGACTTATAAGCCAGACTTCCTTCTGTCAGCAGGTGGCGCTATGACTGTGTCTCAATATTAACATGTAGATTTGTTCAAGTCAGGACTGTTATGAAACGTGTGAATTTTGAGGCATATGGGACAATGCAAGCTTGAGTTATAACAACTTCCTGTTTCGTGGCGAATCGTCAAAGTTTGTGAGCAAAGTTTGCGAACAAAAACTTTAGATCTTTTTAATTTAACATCTCCAAGGCTGTTTAGTGTTGATCAGATAAAATCCCTAGGAGGAGTTCGTTAAAATAAAACACCTGGAAATGGCACTTTTTCGGCACAGGAAGTTAAAAATATCTGACTTCCTGTTGGGTTTGAGATTTTTTGTAGGTATTGACAGGTTTTACATGTGTGCCAATTTTTGTACGTGTGTGTGAATTGTAGCTCAGGGGCCAGTCCATCAAAAGTGCATAGGTGGCGCTGTTGAGTAATTTTGCCATGCCCACTTCTAATACTATAAAAAATAATAATTTTCGCCACTTTGCACTTTCCAGGGCTCGGTGCCTAATTACTTCAAAAGACCAGTGTGATCAAATGATCATTATCCAGAAAATGATCATGTGTAGAATGGCTATAAATAAGGTTGATGTCGTGATCTCGTTCTTTTTGAGTATGCATGCGCATTAGCTCGGGCAACCTGAAAATATGCAGATTTTGTTTAATTCAGACATTTAGAAGTGAAACTTATGGGACAGTTGTTGTTTAATTTTAATTGGTGGTTTCAAATATGTAATGTAACCGTAAGCTTGGCAAACAGTTTTGGAGAATTTGATGTTTCCACATTCAGACAGAATGCCTGAGCATACAATTTTTCAAAGATGGTGGCTGAGTAAAATGACTTGCCTTAAAGTATAGGTCTCAAACTGAATTCCTGGTGGGTATTGACTACCAGACTACTAGACACTACTAGATCAGTTATGTTTGATTAGGGTTGGAGCAAAACTGTGGAGAGCTGCGGCCCTCCAGGAATTTAGACTTTGACCATATATATTAAGGAAACCTACTGTTAACCAGGTTACATATTTCTACTGTAGCATTTTTATCACCATTAAAATCACAGCAATTTTTTTTTACAGTGAAGGCTATGTTTGCTAATAAAAATCATTAATTAAAATGATGATGGTTTTCTACCAGACATCATTAACAATCTTTTTTTTTTTTTAAATAGTAAAATATATATATATTTTTTTGTAGCATTTTTGTTGTTGTTGGGAAAATCATCAGTTTTCCAATATATGTTATGCACACTGCAAAGCATAAGCATTAGTCAGTATTTTACTTCACAACTGTACTTAAAAGCAACGATTTACCCAAACATAAAAAATGTACTATTTATTCACCCTCAAGGCCTCTTTCTTACTCTTGAACACAAAAGATTCTCCACTGAAATCAACAATTGACATTCACAGTGTCCATGGTGGTCAGCCATTTACATCCACTGTATCCATTAAAGAACCATGAAAGATCATGAAAGATTCCACAATTCTTCAAACTATCTTCTGCTGTGTTTAACAAAAGAAAGAAATTTGAACATGTTTGTGGCAAGTGAATGGTGAGTAAATGATGACAGACGTTTGATTTTTGAGTGAACTATCCCTTTAAGTGCCTTATCTTAGAATTTTTATTTCAAGAGTTCACTCTAAGCTGAAGATTGATAATAAAGCATACATTGAATGTTGTCTTGGGAGAGAGCCCTGAGCTCAGAATATCCTTGAGCCCGGGGCTCCCTCCCGTTTGAAGGGCGAGAGGAGAGTTTGAGCTCAGGTAGGTCTTGAGAAGTTCACCTTCTTGTAAACGTGCTAAGATATATCTGCCTTAGAGTTGATTAAGATGCTATTTTAAAGTAGTCAATTTACTTATGGTGTATGTCTTTATATGGTGGGAAGAAACTGGGAAATCTGTGAAAACCCACTCGAACACAGGGAGAACATGCAAAACTAAAACATATTAGTGTAAAGGGGTCTTAGTCTTTAACCTCCCTTTTGGGAAATAGAAGGTCAAAGTCTGGGAAGAACTTAGTGGTCAACAGGATCAATACATTTGTAAGAAGTTGGAGTTGTACTGTAACCTGCATTGGTATCAAAGCATGAAGCCCTTTTAAAATCATCAGCAGCACCTTAAATTGTACAAGTTGCTAAATGGGACTACAGGTGACGTCGGAGACATTATACGCCATTGAGCTGAACTGGTCTGGAGCACAGCTCGCTTGCGCTGGGCATTTTGATTTGTCTGTTATAAAATATTTTCATGAATAGTATTTTATAGTTTGTAGTAATTTTATAATTGGTAGCTCATATTGTGTGTAGATAATGCCTTCACATGTAAAGACTATCAAGACAGATTAATTTGTTGATCATTTATTTTAATTAAACAATATTATGAATAAACTGCTTATCAGTGGAGTCTGTCTCTTTCCTGCTTTCAGTAATGCAAACATGTGAATAAAAGTGTAAAAGTACATGTTAACTGTCATTTTAATGCGATCAATAGATTTTTCGTCTTTTTTTCTTCATCTGAACACATTTAACTCTGTCATAACTGCAATATTTACACTCCTCCATAAAATGAAGAGCAGATGTGACTGTATGGGCTGCTTTTTGCTGTATTTTGTGACATAAAAAGAATATTAAATGTTGTTCTCGATCTATAATGGGATTTGTAGGCTTTTGATAGACTTGTCTCTCACGACTCATTTCTGTCGTCTGTTAAGGTAAGCAGGCTGTATGCATGCGAGCAATACACTTATTTAAATATGTCTAATGCTATGTAGGCACATTTATACACACAGTTTTAAAACTTTTACAACAACCGTAAAGCAAAACAGATGTATTTCCCACGTAAAAATGATCCAAAAGGCACATTGGTCTATGTGTTTTTGAGTATTTAATTGTTTATAATATATAGTGTAGATAATATATTAATAAACAATGAGATTAACTCTGTCATGCAGCATATTTCTAAAAATAAGCTAGAAAAGTAGTCTGTAGCAGGGCGGTGCTGATGTCACAGGCGAGTGCCCTCTGTAGTCTGTTTATAGCCTAATGTTAGCTTTTCAGCTCTTGCATTTGCATTTAAGATCCAACAGTGCTAAAAACTTGTATTTTTGCATGAGGATTATCCGGCTGGACAAAACGTGTAATGAACAGTGTTTGAACACAGAGCTTATTAATTGCAATCTTCAAAAAGCCTATGGGAAAATTCTATAGGGATTTTATTGAGGAAACCAGTTTTATACTAGCAGCCGATTAGCCTACAAAGTGACGTCATAGTTCCTCCACTCTTTGGGTACAGGTTTCTAACAATCTTCAAAACATATTTTTTTATTGGTTAACACAAGACTCATAAACTCATAACTTTTTTAAACAAGTAAAAAGGAGTACTGAAAATAATGAAAGAATACAATTTTTGGTGAACTATAGCTTTAATTTCTTAACACATGTTCCCAGAAGTTACATCCTTTAACGGTCCATGTTACTTTTTGTGTTTATTTTTGGTTTGTACTAGTCTACATGGTATATTTTAGTATTTTCATATATTTGCACAATAAGTGTACACTCAAAATTAATTTTTTTACTTGTTCAAACTACTGTACTTAATTAAAATGAGCTGAAACAACACAATTCTTGAGATTTCATTGGGACAACTTTTTTTTTTTGTTTAATCCACATTAATTGTTAAAAGTGTTAAGTTAACTTAATGATTTATGTTAGGACAATATGAATGAATTGTTGCATGAATGAATTAGGCAATTTTAATAATATTTTTATCTTTAATAATGTTGTTCATTAAAGGTCTAGTATACTTGTAATAAAATTGAAGAGAAGAAAAAAAAAGATTTCTGGAAAAAAAATATATACTAAAGGGCTCTGCTTTCAATTTCCTCTGCTATCCAAGAATAATAGATTCAATTCATTTTCTCTTTTATGCTTAACTCATGGAACAGAACTAAGCTTGACAGAATTGAAGAGTCCCTAGTGAGGGGTCATTTATTTAACATGACATGTTTTGTGACTGTTTAATAAAAGATTCAATATCATACAGTTACAAAAGCAGCAAGACACCAAGGAAAAGAAAATTAATGAGAACAGGGAATCACATGCACATGAGCACAATGTGTTTGACATTGAGCATTGTGAAAGAACAATCAACGCGCAACATTCATCGAACACGCTCAAAATCACACCCGTCTTCATTTGCCCTGCATAATATTTGAGGCATTACTGAATATATCTGCCATCCTTCCACCATTCTCTCCTCTAAGCTCCATAACATTGGACAGCTG